TGAGTGTGTGATGTTTAGTGTATATTTGATAGTGTGTATGTTGGTGAAGTGTATGTGATAGTCTTTTTAGTGTGGTGGGGTGTGTAATGTAGCTGTAATCTTGTTAGTGAGTGAGTAGTTTGTTTATTGGTATGGTGATATTGTCTGTAGTGTAGTGATCTGTATTGTTAGTGTAAGTTTGTATGGTGTGTAGTGTAGTTTTTAGTTAGTTAGTTGTATAGTGTATGTAATGTGGTATATTAGTGTAAGTCTTGTTTGTGTAGTGTATGTTGTTTAGTGGTGATAAGTGTTGTTTTAGTGTAGTGTAGTCTTGGTTTAGTGTATGAATTTTATGTAGTTTGCTTGTATATGTCTATTTGTTAGTGTAGTGTAGTGTAAGTTGAATTAGTGTAAGTGTATGTGGTGAGTTTGTTTAGTGTAGTGGTAAGTGTTGTTAGTGATAGTGTATTTTTAAGTGTAGGTAATTGTGTTGAGTGATAGGTAGGTTGTAGACTAGTTATGTATATGTATTAGTTTTGTTATAGTATTTTTAGTGTAAATGTAGTGTGTTATGTATGTAATGTTGATATTGTGTAGTCTGTTGTTAGTGTAGTAGAGTGTATCTAGTGAATGTTTAGTGTAGTAGTCCATGTTTAGTGTATTGTAGCTGTTTATGTGTCAGTTTGTATGGTAGTGTATGTTGTATAGTGGATGAGCCTTGTTTAGTGTAAGTGTAGTGTTGTATAGTGGTAGTGTATGTTGTAAGTGTAGTGTCGTCTTGTTTGTGTATGCAGTGTCTAAGTAATGTTGTATAGAAGTGTAGTGTATTTGTTAGTGTGTGTAGTGATTTGTTCTATGTAGGTAATCCCTTGTTTATTGTATGTAGTGTATTTAGGTTAGGAGTTGTTATGTAGTGTAGTGTGTTAGTGTAGTGGTATGTGAAGTGTGAGTGAGAGTGTGTCTTGTTTCGCTAGTGGTTATGTAGTGTATGTTGTTTGTGTAGTGAGTGCTGAATGTGGTTATCAGGTAGTGATAGTGTTGTTAGTGTAGTGTAGTGTTGTTTCTGTAGTTTTTGTTCTTCCTGGTATAAAAAAGTTCTTCTTTGTAGTGTTGTATAGGTAGTTTGTCTGTTGTGGTAGTTGTTTGTGTATGTAGTGTTGTACTTTAGAGTGTCTTGTTTGTGTGATATGTAAGTTGTATAGTGCATGTAGTCTTGTTTATGTAGTGAAGTGTAGTGTTGATAGTTATGTAGTTTGTAGTGTGTGTAAAGTGTTAGTTAGTGATAGTGTAGTGTTGTTTTTGTGTAGTGTAGGTGGTTGTTAGTGTAGTGTAGTGCAGTCATTGTTTTTGGTAGTATGTTCATGTCAGTTTCGTTAGTGTATTAGTATGGTATAGTTGTGAGTTTTTTAGCGTTTGCTTGTTTTGTGTGTGTATTTGTTAGGTTGTAGTGTAGTGTTGTTTATTGTAGTGTATGTAGTAAATGGTAAGTCGTACGTTTGTTTAGTGTAGGTATTATGTTGTATAGTGTAGTGTAGTCCTTGTTTGTATTTAGGTGTATTTTAGTTTGTAATAGTGTAGTGTTTGTTTAGTTTGTGATAAGTTGTTTGTATATGTGTCTGTCCTATGGGTTTAGTTAAGTGTAGTTTGTTAGTGCTGTGATGTAGTGTTCCCGATAGTGTAGTGTAGGATGTTTAGTGTCAGTGTATGTGTCAGTGTAATGTACTCAGTGTCATGTAGTGTTCAGTGAGTTAGTGTACGTGTATGTTCAGTGTAGCTGTTGTAGCGTATTATGTAGTGTCTAAGTGTCAGTGACTGTTATGTTTAGTGTAGTGTAGCTGTTTATAGTAGTTTGCTTTAGTGAGTGAGTGTAGTGTTGTAATAGTGTAGCTTGTTTAGTGTTTGTAGTGTTGTTTAGTTAGTATGTAGTGTTGTATAGTGTAGTGTAGTTTGTTGTTAGGTAGTGTAGTGTTTTTAGTGTAGCTGGTAGTGTTTTTATAGTGTATGTCAGTGTTGTATAGTGTAGTGTAGGTTGTTTAGTGTAGGTAGTAGTGTTGATGTATGAGTTTGTTTAGTGTACGTTGTATGTTTAGTGTAGTGTAGTGTTTATAGTGTAGTGTAGTGTTGTGATGAGGTAACTGTTTATAGTGTATTTATTTAGTGTAGGTAGTGTTATGTTGTATAGATAGGTAGTGTTGTTTAGTGATTAGTGTTGTAGTGTAGTGTAGTGTATATTTATAGTGTACGTGTATGTTGTTTAGTGTAAGTACGCTTTTAGTGTATGTAGTGTTTGTATATGGTATGTAGTGTTGTTGTGTAGTTGCTATTCATAGTTGTGAGTGTTGTATTATAGACTGCTAGGTAGGTGTCTATTATTAGGTAGTTTGTATAGTGTAGTGTAGTGTTGTTTGTGTAGTTGTATAGTGTAGTGTCGTGCGTTTATGTGTGATCTTGTTTAGTGTATTATGTTGTATAGTGTAGTGTAGTGATGTTAGTGAGTAACGTGTTTAGTGATGTATGAAATTATTACGAGTTAATGTTGTTTAGTGTAGTGTAAAAGTATAGTTGTAGTGTTTGTTTAAGGTGTTGATCGTGTTGTTTAGTGTAGTTTGAAAGTGAGAGTAGTGTGTAGTGTCAGTGTTGTTGGTATATCGTGTTATGTAGTTGTTTATGTAGTGTTGTTTAGTTGTAGTGTTTCACGAGAAGTAAATGTTGATATTATCGATATAGTTGAAGTGGTGCAGTGAATTTTTAGTGAGGTAGTGTGTTTATCGTAGTAGTTTATATGTGTTCGTGTTGTGTATAGTTGTGAGCGTGGTAAGGTACAGTGTTTTATGTAGTTTCGAGTACGTGTCGTAGTGTTGTCTAGTAAGAAATGAAATTGTTAGAGTGAAGTTTTAGTGTAGTGTCATGTTGTCATAGTGAAGTATAAGTGTCTGGTTTAGTTGCTAGTACGGACTCTGTTTACTGTATTATGTATCTTAGTGAGTTAGTGTAGTATAGCGAGCAGATGATTGATTAGGAGTTAAAGTTTGACTAGTGAGTAGTAGTTGTCTGGCGTGATTTGATAGTGCTCGTTAGGTCGTGTGATCATGTCATTTAGATATAGCTGTTGTTTAGTAATGATTTTAGCCGTGTGTACGAGTTCGAATATATAGTGAGAGTCTCACTGTAGTTAACTTCATAGTGTATCTAAGTCGTTTTCAGGTAGTTATTTCGTTCCTCGTGACACAAAGTATAGTTATTATTACAGGGTAGTGCTATGATTTGTTGTAGTGAAGTCTGTTTAGGAAAGTGTACGTGTAAGTTTTTTTTTTACTGTATTATGTGTTTAGTGCAGTAGTGTTGTTTTAGGTGTAGTGTGTATGTTTAATCGTATGTAGGTTGTTATGTTTAGTTTACTAGTATATTTATGTAGTGTGTTTGTCTTAGTGTAGTGTAGTGAAGTAGTGTTACCAGATAGTGTTATTAATAGCGTGAGTATGTGTTTCTAAGGAGTGTTGTTAGTAGTATAGTGTGTTTAGTGTAGTGTTACAGTGTTGTTTAGTGTAGTGTAGTGTTGTTTTAGTGTAGTGTGTGTAGTAGTGTAGTGTAGTGTTGTTTAGTGTAGTGTAGTGTTGTTTAGTGTAGTGTAGTGTTGTTTAGTGTAGTGTAGTGTGTTGTATTAGTGTAGTTTTTAGTGTTGTATAGTGTAGTGTAGTGTTGTTTAGTGTAGTGTAGTTGTTGTGTAGTTAGTTTAGTGTAGTGTATGTATAGTGTAGTGTAGTGTTGTTTAGTGTAGTGTAGTGTTGTTTAGTGTAGTGTAGTGTTGTTTAGTGTAGTGTAGTGTTGTTTAGTGTAGTGTAGTGTTGTTTAGTGTAGTGTAGTGTTGTTTAGTGTAGTGTAGTGTAGTGTTGTTTAGTGTAGTGTTGTTAATGTAGTGTAGTTGTGTTATAGTGTGTGTAGATGTTGTTTAGTGTAGTGTAATGTTGTTTAGTGTAGTGTTTGTTTAGTGTAGTGTAGTGTTGTTTAGTGTAGTGTAGTGTTGTTTAGTGTAGTGTAATGTTGTTTAGTGTAGTGTTGTTTAAGATAAGATTTCGTTCGGATTTTTAACCCCGGAGGGTTAGCCACCCAGGATAACCCAAGAAAGTCAGTGCGTCATCAAGGACTATCTAACTTATTTCCATTGGGGTCCTTAATATGGAGAGTATAGAAGCAATGGAGAGGTAACGGTGATGTGATCGATCCATCAACCTTGAAGAAATATTGAAGGTGGTCAGTCTCTCTGGATGAGGGACTTAAAGCTTTGAGATCTGTACAGTTATATCTAATATACGGAGGGCTTAAAAAATTACATCATGAACCACTAATTTGGGTAGTTTATTTTTACGGATACCTGTGCATCTGTTAAACAAAAATTATAGGGCTTGTATTGTCACAGGTTCTTTGTCTATGATATAGAATGGTTGGCAGTTTAAAGAAAAGTTTAGTAAGTATTGGAATGGCATCAGCATAGATAACTGTGATATTTCTGTGAATATCTGGTATTAATTTTAGTGTGGCACTGAATATTAACACAATGCAGATCTTAATATACCGCTTTATAAAGTCCTGGGTCAGGTACCCGTCAGTATTCCTCACAGTGATTCTTTGAGGACTACTGAGGGTAGCTGAAGCACGGCATAGCCAGTGAGTGATTTGAAAGATGCAATTAACAAAAGATTTTTATTAGTACACATTTCACCTATTCGAGGCTTTAGTAAGTCTTGATAAAGCCTCCTGTAAGTGAAACACGGTACTACTCAAGGATGTCTGCTGATGAACGTGTCTCTCTAACCAATTATCGGCCACCCCATAATTCATGTAGATGTTTCACTTACGTCAGGCTTCATCAAGACTTAATATTTTCACGTACGTGAAGCAAACGTACTAATAAAAAGTCCCTCTTCTGTCTTTTTAACCCCTAATGTCGACAAGCAGTGGTCGGGGTGGTGGTCTGGGTCCGGTACCGAGAGTCGGGTTCATACGGCCCTAGTGCCGTCGCTGCCCTTTAATCCAATAACAACAACTCTCACGTAGAGTCCATCCGTTGCAACATACATTAACAGAGAATATCTCTTAATCACCGCAGTGCTGTACGAGCCATTCGGCTTTAGCGCTTACTTTGATTGTAGTAATAATAATCATACTAACTAGTAAGTTATCATCTACACCTAGTAATTACATTTGATTACATGACTCATGTAATTTATTTATTTTTTATTAGGACATGATACATAGGTGTACAAAGAAATATAGTGATTGGGTGTACATGCCAAAAGCCCCTTGTATGCAGAGCATTATGGGCAGGAGGAGAGTGATTTCTTGTATAGCTAGCATACATCTACTTAATATTGTCCCCTCAAGGAAGGTTCCTTGATGTTGGTGAGAGGCTCTTGATTTAGGGAATTGGATCTGTGCTCCAGTTCCCCGAATTAAGCCTGAATGCCTTCCACATCCCCCCCCCCCTCAGGCGCTGTATAATCCTCCGGGTTTAGCGCTTCCCCCTTGATTATAATAATAATAATACTTAATATTGTGATCTGATCCTATCTTTAATGTTAATGTAAATAATTCAAGTTTATCTTATTCCCTTATTCCTAGTTCATCTCCTTTTATTGTAACTGCTTTCCACATAGTTAAGTTACTTACTTGTTTTAACTTTTAAGGTTTAAATAATAAGTTATTACAAGGACCCCAATGAAAATAATTCACTTTGACTGTTTTGGGTTATCCTGGGTAATCTGCACATATGCTGCTATGTATAATATTTTATGTAACAGCATTTATGTGTACCTCTACCTGAATAAATTTACTATGTCTCTCTAATACAAGGACCCCAGTGGAAATAAGTCACCGTGATTTTTTTTTTGTGGGGGGAGAGGCAGGTTATCCTAGGTAATTTACACATATGTTACAGTGTATGATAATTTGTATAACACTTTATGTGTACCTATACCTAAGTAAACTTACAAATACAATTTTTATTTCTTTATGCAGTACACAGCTCTGTATGACCCTTGTGGGTTTAATGCTTACTTGTGATTGTAATAATAATTTAGGCGATACAAAATAATGTAGTTTACATGTAACGAAACATTGGTAGGCACAAGAATTAAGCCACTAGTATGCAGTGCATTGTGGGTTGCTTAATACAGGTGTTGCACTATACTAATGCTGATGCACCGTTTTTTTTTTTTTTTTTAATTTTATTACCTAACTTTTGTTGTTTCAGGTGAAATATGTTGAGACAGGAGGAATTTTTGAAACCTCCAGACAATGTTGGATCCGGGACAAAAAAGACATCCAGAAGGTAAGTCATTATGTGGACATGATCTGATTAATGTTACTTACATGTATAGTAATTAATTTTTACAGTTTTGTGTGAAGTAGTGTATGTTTTTCTTTCAGTGTTAAAATTTTGGCAGTCCTAAACCAAAAGTGTACATTTATCCATAGGATGATTTTTAATTCAAAATAAAAACCAATATACTTGTATAAAATTATTTCTTTAAGAGTTCTTGTGTACTTACACAGTTTAAAAGATAAATACTGTATATAAAATATGTTTATCCCACTTTCTTCACCCTCCGTCCCCCACAGCTCCTCCTCTGAGGCAGATAATGGTCACATGTTAATCTGAAAAATTTGACTTCATTATATATATATAGGTTCATCAGACATTTGACTCATGTATGAAGTGAGACCTTTGTCAGGCTATACAAATGACTGAGCCATGTATGCACTTCATTCACTTCGTATATTATTAGAGAGAGAATAGTAATGCTCTTCCCTTCTCTGATTTAGTAAATGTTAAATATCATATGAGAAAGGGAGTGCAGGTACTGTAATAGGTATACATCCATAATTTAAAGCTCTTTCCTTCTAATTTAGCAAATATTAAATATCTTATAGACAGGAAAGCATCATTGGCACTGCTGAGCTGATGAAGTTAAGCAAGGCCCGTGCCCAGAATATATTCCTCAGCATGATAGAAAAAGCTGTCACTCCTATCTATTTTGTTCAACAGGTATGTTTAATATATTTTTAACTTTAAGTTTTAATTAAATAATAAATATATTAACATATATTAGTAGTAGTATAGTATCTCTCAGTGCATGAAAGACAATTTGACTCAGCTCACTGAGGCAGAGACTGTAAAGTATTAAATGTGTGTTGCATTGGTGAACCAGTTAATGGAATACGATAATGATATTATAAGACTGTTAGAGAAGTGGGGAATCAAAGAATTACTATTGCATAATATATTTTTAAGTCTTCCGGAGCTGAAAAAATCATATAACAATATGTATATGCATGCACTGTATGTAGAAATATGTGACTTTTTACAGTTTAGACAGTGTGAAAATAAGCGATTTATAACCTGTCATAGTCTCACAGGTATCAGTCTAATGCTGTCAACAAAGACTAATATTTTCCATAGAAACCTATAGTGGGCATAATAAGTTTAATTACTGCATATCTCCTTAGGCTCGGTACATTGATCCAGCTATTTATGATGACATAGTCACTGAGAGAGCCTTAACTGGCTTGTGTGGTTATCCACTCTGCTCTAGACAATTCACAGACCAGTTCGGGAAGAGGACTTACATTATCCGCAACAACAAGGTCTATGATATCTCCGAAAGAAGAGTACGTACCATAATTTAAATTATTTTTACATTTGAATTAAATAAATGATCTTTTAGGAACAGGATTTAACATTTCTGGTTTCAGCCTACAGAAGAGGATATCCTCTGTAATGAAACTAGTCAAACTTGGTCTATAATACAAGTTTCTTTTCACGTTATGTGGGTTTTGGGGTTGGTAGTAGTAATGGTGGAAATGGTGGTGTTTGTTGATGGTGGTGTATAGTGGAGTGGAGCGGGTTGAGTGGGATGGAAAGGGCCTTGGGATAATGGTGGTGGAAGAAGAGAAGCTCATGGCTTCATGCTCACATACAGTGCAATCCCCAAAATTGTGGGAGTTATGTTTCCAGAGGTAGCATACCACCAAGTTCCTTTTAATTTTATTATGAAAGTAAAGGTATGGTACTTATTATATGTTGTGGACTTACTGTGCATCCTTCATAGACACATCACTGTAGAAGGCTTGTAAAGAATAACTACTCAGCATATGATAAAATGCACTAAGGTAGTTTTTCTATAAAAAATAGAGTAGGGTATCTGATGTGCCAGTCTCTTATTTGATTTAAAATATGGTAGATACTACATTTATTAAAAAAAAAAGCCAACATACTATTTGTATTCAAATTATTTACTCTTAATATTATTTTAAAATTTCTAATTGATTGTGGATTTTCATTACAGAACTTTTGCAGTGCTGTGTGCTATGAAGCTTCAGAAATTGTACGGAAACAGCTGGCGAGAGACCCTCTTTATCTGCGATATGATGAAAACAAGTTTATTACTGATGTTAAAATTCCTAAAATGAAACGGCTGCAAGGTCTCTCTGGAAAATTTATTGATGTTACAGGTAAGCTATTTTCTTAAAAAAAAAAAAAAAAAAAAATCTTTACACTTGTACAGTATACAGTGGCCCCCTATAAAACAACCCTGAGAAAAAATTCTTAAGTGTGAAGAATATCTTAAATGAATTACATTTTCCCATAATATTCCATAACTAAATCCTATCACTTTTTTTCAATGAAATTTGGAAGATAAGTACTGTATTCACCAGAGATGGATCCCTTGGTTAATAGAATCATAGTAGTGTTTTACTCTGTGTAAAACACTAAAAATGCAAAAAAAAAAAAAAAAAATAATCAAAATATTTTGTTCAGTCTAATGGATGTACGTATATTACATTCCAGACCTAACAGTTCTCACCCCTTGCACCCATTTTGTTTGATGAAATACATGTAATGTATACATTCTCAATCATACAGCAGCAAAATTAATACCATTGTGCAAGGCAGAGTTGCCAGACAGACAGCTAACTGTCAGATGACTCACAGCCTCGACATAGTGACACCACATTAATTCTGCTAGAGAGACATTATTACTATATTAAAATTTTTTCCCAGATATTTCAGTGTTAGACTAAACTTTCTGAAAAGGAAAGCAGTGGGTTGAATGAATACCATACAGTATCTTCCATTTTTTTTTTTTAATGGAAGTCATGGGATGCAGTTGATTTAGTTGGGTGACCAAAATACAACATGAACATCCCAGTGTAGTACATTTTTTTTTATTCCTTCAATATGAGTGCCTTCATGCTGGTGAAAGGCTCTTTATTTGAGCTATCTTCTCCTTACTCAGATGAAACCTGATTAACTTTCATTTTCCCAGTGCTGTGTAGCCCTTACAGGTTTAATGCTTATTCCATGATGATGATAATAATAATAATATTTACACCCAAGGTACAACACTTAAACACTTTATTTAGTGTTTACATCTTTTCTTTCTACCAACCCATCAAGTGGGGAGGGTGGGGGAACCTTGATGCTGGTGAAGATCTTTTGATCCAAGGAATTTAAACTACCCTCCGCTTCTTCAGATCAAACCTGATTACCTCCCATTTCCGTAGGTGCTGTATGACTCTCCAGAGTTTATCACTCCCCCCTGAATAAACGATAATCATTCCTATCATTTGCTCTTACCACCTTGGTGAACCAATCAGGACTTTGACATTTATGCCTGTACAAGTGTCCATCTCTTCTTTAATTTATATTTTCATAGCTCATTTCATTAAACTCTCACAAACCTTTGATGAGGTCCAAAAGTCTACTCCTGTAGCCCAGCCATGGACCAGGCTCATCTGGTGCTAATCTGCTTAACCAGGCTGTTGCTGTTCAGAGCTGTCTATTCAGCTCATACAAATCTGTTCATATCCTAGTCTATCCATCTCATAGAAATCTGTTCACATCCCAGCATATCCAACTCACAAATTTATTTGTATTCCAGTGTAACATAAATCTGCTCATACAACAGTCTATCCAGTTCACACAAATATGTTGTGACTGCTTTACTACAATGGTATTTACTGTATAAATTATTTTATTTATTAACACATCGGCCGATTCCCACCAAGGCAGGGTGGCCCGAAAAAGAGAAATTTCATCATCATTCACTCCATCACTGTCTTGCCAGAGGGGTGCTTTACACTACAGTTATAAAACTGTATAAATAATTTACTGTAATTTATTCTAGGAGGATTGCAAACCCTGGAGGAGGAAATGAAATCATTTACATCAGTTTCTCAGCTTGCTGAAGAGACCTTAGTCACATGTTCAGAAAATACAGTGATTGATGATGAAAGCAAGTTGGAGGGCAAGTCAGAAAACCAGTCAGAAAGCAAGCTAGAAAGCAACCCAGAAAGCAAATCAGAAAGAAAACTACAAAGCAAATCAGAAAGCAAGCCAGGAAGCAAACTAGAAAGCAACCCAGAAAGCAAACTGGAAAGCAGGCAAGAAAGCAAGCCAGAAAACAAATCAGAAAGCAGGCAAGAAAGCAAGCCAGAAAGCAGATCAGAATGCAAACCAGGAAGGAAGCCACAAAGTCATAAAAATGAAAAAGGGCACATAAATAAAGATCAACAAGAAGCTGGTATTGACATAAATGGAAATATGGAAGCCAAATTAGAGCCTCTTTCTTCTGTCCATGAAGTAAGTCACTTCAGTACATGTCTGTTCATCTCTTTTTGCTCTCATGGATCTTAATTTTTTAACCAAGAGAAAGTGATCCCAAGAAGTCAGCACATTTACGATCATTCATTCAATAGCTGTCTTTACAGAAATTCACAGAATCAGAAATCAAATGACCTTTTACTGTGTAGTAAATGCAACATCTGTGACTTGCACGAAAGCAGCATAAATTACATAAATGCTGCAGTTATGGATTTATTATTAAAGATTATGCTTATGGCACATGAGTAAAGTAATGCTAAAGGGTAAAGATTAAAGTGTTCTTATAACTGTGTTAAGAAATGTAAAACATAAGACTGCAAATGAAGTATAATGCAGTCCTTTATTGATAACATTTTGCCCACTGTGTGGGTGAAACATTGTCAGCATAGGATTGCATTATACAGCATATATTTTTAGTGGTATTTGATGCCATTTCCCTCCATTGAGTGGAAAGAAAACAGTATTTGCTAGTTAAATAGACCAAATTTTAATGGCAGGTTGTTATTCTAGTAGCATTTCAGTGAACCCGAACATTGAAAGTAAGTTGTCATGCTTTAAGATGTAATTTTGGAACATGCCAGGAGTGTTTGTATTTTCAAGTCTTCCCACTGAATGTGTCCCACAGCTCTTATATTGCATTTCTTCTTTATACATTAAATCTTAATGAAATCCCATCCCTTATAATTACAGTGGTACCTCGGTATACGTCCGCTTTTGAATAAGTCCAACTTGGTATACGTCCTGTTTGGACGTGAAAATTTTTGCTTGGTATATGATCTTTGTTTGGAATACGACATGCGTGCTATAACTTGTATGGGTCAGTAGGAGTCACAACACCACGCGCTACACTGCGGCCCAGAGCCATATTATTACCATCAACATATCTTGTTCACTGAATTTAATCGTTTCTAACAACTACCTTTAGATGCCATCATAAACGAAGGGAGAAGTAATGAATAATTCATGCCGAGAATTGTAAACAAAAGCGGAGCGACTAGGCCAAACACAGATTCATACACGTTTTCTTTGGTGCTGGACCAGAGACAACGTAATGTTTTCCCTCCGCCTGGCATATAAACATAGCGTGTTTATATGCTATGTAATGTGTTTCTTTATAATTTTGAAGAAAATATCATAGATGGATTAATGAAAATGTCTATATTAACGTAAAATAAGACATTTAATGTGCCCAAGAGTGACTGTTATTACATACTATTAGCAAAGTAAAATCAGGTTAAATTTGCATTTATTTCATCTAATTCTTTTGTATTTATATAAGTATTTTAATATTAAGCAGTGTTTAAATTACATATTTTAGTATTAAGCAGTGTTTAAATTACATATTTTAGTATTAAGCAGTGTTTAAATTATTTTATACAACCCCATCAATGTATAATATGCCAGTAACAATAGGATTTTTTTCATGGGAACAGATTAATCATTTTCCCTATACGTACAGTGGTCCCTCGCTTTTCGTAGTTCTCGGCAATCGTAAATTTCGCCAATCATAGGGGTATTTTCGTATAAACATGGACTCGCTTTTCATAGGTTGACTCGCGAATAGTAGTTCGTCCAGGACACTTACGCACGGTGTGAGCCGGGGAGGCCGCCCTACCCAGCCAGTGTGGCATTGTTTACCAGTGAGTGAAGGTCCCCTCAAGTGCTCCTACGAAATATTTCATAATATTCCACTCATTTTAGTGCTTGCAAGTACTAAATAAGCTACCATGGCTCCAAAGAAAGCTCCTAGTGCCAAGCCTGTGGTAAAGAAGGTGAGAAATATGTACAGTGACAAAGTCTTGTACCATTTTAGGGAAGTGTTAAAGAGACGCCAGAAACAGAGCTCTCTCCACAGTTACTTTGCAAGACAGGACTAGAGTGACTCTCAAGGTGGTCCTAGTGGCATTAAGAAACAGAGAAGAGAAGCAACCCCAGAGAAGCAATTGATACCTGAGGTGTTGCTGGAAGGGGATTCCCCTTCCAAACTGTTAACAATCCAATCTCTCTCCTCCTCCAGTCTCCCATACACTAAGAAGAATCTCCAATAAAGGTAAGTGTTATGCTGTTAATGTTTCATTCATCATTTGCCATTGTATTGTTTATGTACTACATGTATATTTCATGTAAAAAATTTTTTGTTTTAATACTTCTGAGTGTCAGAAACGGATTAATTGTATTTACATTATTTCTTATGGGGAAAATTGATTCGCAAATCGTAAATTTCGTTTATAGTAGCTCCTCCAGGAACGGATTAATTACGAGAAATGAGGGACCACTGTATTTCTAATGGGAAAATTTGTTTGGTATATGTCCTGTTTGGTATAAGTCCAAGGTCCTGGAACGGATTAAGGACATATACCGAGGTACCACTGTACCTGATATGTAAAATGTAATTTTTATGAGTTTACAGTGTTTGTAAAGATTCCAATAATCACCATATACCATAATCACAGAAGTGATTATGGTATTTTCTCATGTTTACGTGCTGTATATTTATGATATTGTCTGATACTGACTGTTTTATGTTCACTCAGGTAGAGATGGCATTAAGAGAGTGGATGTCTTTCGACTCATTACGTGAGGTGTTAGGAGACCAGTATGTACGAGGGATGTTGGAGCACATTGGTCGTAATTGGGAAAATTATGACACAGCTTTAGGTTAGTAGCAATATTATATTATATTATCACACTGGCCAATTCCCACCAAGGCAGGGTGGCCCGAAAAAGAAAAACTTTCACCATCATTCACTCTATCACTGTCTTGCCAGAAGGGTGCTTTACACTACAGTTTTTAAACTGCAACATTAACACCCCTCCTTCAGAGTGCAGGCACTGTACTTCCCATCTCCAGGACTCAAGTCCGGCCTGCTGGTTTCCCTGAACCCCTTCATAAATGTTACTTTGTTCGTACTCCAACAGCACGTCAATGTATTTATTTATCAGTGTTAGTGCAATTTAAAGGAGGGGTCTGGGATAGTGGCTGTTTGGAGTGACATCTGAACTGTCGTATCTAGGCGCCTATGCAAAGACATTGATCATGTGTGAATGATGTAAAAGTGTTCTTTCTTTTTTTGGGCCACCCTGCCTTGGTGAGAGATGGCCAAAGTGTTGAAAAAATCAATATGCGTTGGTAACATATAAATCCTCTGGAGAGAGAGAGAGAGATATCTGAATGTAGATATAGAGGTCTCTATGTATAAATATATACACCTATCATCCGACTTACGACCAAGCTTGGTTCCGACCAACCGGTCATAAGTCGAACCTTTGAAAATTGCCGACATACAGTGGACCCCCGCATAACGATGGCATCGCATAGCGATTTTTCCGCATAACGATTACTTTTATCGCAAAATTTTTGCCCCGCATACCGATTAAAAACCCGCATACCGATTTTCGTCCGAGACGCGTCCAATGTGCCCTCAGCCAGCCTCACATGTGCCGCTCCGTCCCATTGTTTACCAGCCAGCCTCCGCGGTAACATCCAAGCATACACTCGGAATATTTCGTATTATTACAGTATTTTCGGTGCTGTTTCTGGAAAATAAGTGACCATGGGCCCCAAGAAAGCTTCTAGTGCCAACCCTGTGGTAAAAAGGGTGAGAATTAGTATGGAAATTAAGAAAGATTTTGAAGGGTTTGGGCTAACCCTGAGAAGCCTATGCCAGTTGTGGAATCCATTGTGCCTACTTCAAAGATTAAGGAAATGTGTGCACAGTGGGTTGAACTGCAACCTTTATAGATGAAAATCACCCTGACACAGCTGTTGCAAGCCGTGCTGGTGACTATTTCAATGACAATGTTGTGGCCCATTTTAGACAAATCGTAAAGGAACGGGAGGTACAGAGCTCTATGGACAGATTTGTTGTGCGACAGAGGTCCAGTGACTCTCAAGTGGTCCTAGTGGCATTAAAAGAAGAAGGGAAGTAACCCCGGAAAAGGACTTGCTACCTCAAGTCCTAATGGAAGGGGATTCCCCTTCTAAACAGTAAGAAGATAATGCTCTCCCCTCCTCCCATCCCATCAATCATCACCAGATCTTCAATAAAAGTAAGTGTCATTTAATTGTGCATGCCTTTTTCAGTTTGTGTGTATTAAAATTAACATTTCATGTGGTAAAAAAAATTTTTTTTCATACTTTTGGGCGTCTTGCACGGATTAATTTGATTTCCATTATTTCTTATGGGGAAAATTCATTCGCATAACGATTATTTCGCATAACGATGAGCCCTCTTGCACGGATTAAAATCGTTAACCGGGGGTCCACTGTATTGGGTAGGGCATAATGTCAAAACTTTCCTATATAAACTACCTACATAATACTATAATGTAATGTACAATCATTATTTCATTCTTTTTACCATAATTTACTTCTATTGTTGTATTTTAATTATTTATGTACTGTATATAATGTATACATGATAGTGATATGTATTGTAAATTTTACATCGCATACAGTATCATATGTTACTATTATCTTTATGTATTGTCGACACAGTGGAATGGGAGAATACCACTGGTAGTGTCATCCTGCCGGAATGTTGTGTAACCTATACCCTAAGTAAAGAGAAACAACTCTGGAACATGTGTAATACGTATCCAGCTGGCTGGCTGGGTGGCCGGGTCTGTGGTTGGCCGGGTGGGTGGCTGGCTGGCTGGCTGGATGGGTGGGTGGCTGGATGATGGGTGGGTGGCTGGGTGGGTGGCTGGATGGGTGGGTGGGTGGCTGGATGGGTGGGTAGTTGGCTGACTGGCTGACAGAATGTGGCTGTCTCTGTATCTCTGTATCTCTCTCTCTCTCTCTCTCTCTCTCAGGTACACGTAAGTCAAGTTATCATACATATTATAAATTACCTAGGATAACCCAAAAAATCCAGACAAAGTGCTATACAGTGGATCTGTGCTCCAGTGCCCTAAATTAATAATAATATTAATAATCATTATTATTACAATAATACATATGTACTATTATTATTATTGTTATTATTAAGCTATAATAATCGTGTCCACTCATTACCTATCTTAAAATATCTGTAGTTTTAATGTAGAGTGAGAGGTGAGTAAACAAGATTAAATGAATAAATGAGAGAGAGAATGAGAATGTAGAATGTTCACGAGTTACGTAAACAAACATTGTTGTTGTTGTTACCAGCCCCGACACGAATGGTTCCTGTTCACTGTCAAGCCGACCAGAAAAACATCTCATATTTGTTAATTTATATGTTATGTAGCATGTTTATTATATAATTTTGAAAAAAAATCATAGATGGATTAAGCAAAATGTCTATATTAACGTTTTATACACATTTAATGCTCCTCAGTGATTATTATTGTTATTATCATTATTAATATGGCATCTTTAAGACCAAGTACACTCTTAATGAGTGGCTCTGAGACAGACAAGCAGACAAAGACAGACACACAGGTAGACAGAAAGACAGACACACAGGTAGACAGACAGAAAGACAGACACAGGTAGACAAAGACACACAGGTAGACAAAGACAGACACAGGTAGACAGAAAGACACACAGGTAGACAGACAGAAAGACAGACACACAGGTAGACAGACAGAAAGACAGACACACAGGTAGACAGACAGAAAGACAGACACACAGGTAGACACAGACAGACACAGGTAGACATAAAGACAGACACAGGTAGACAAAGACACAGGCAGACAAAGACACACAGGTAGACAGAAAGACAGACACACAGGTAGACAGAAAGACAGACACACTAGTAGACAGACAGATAAACAGGCAGACAGATACAGACAGGTTTATGTGCAACAGTGAAAACGAATGGAGAGTTTGAGAGTAAGAGCCTTTCTTGCCACAATCTCCAGTGCAAGATTCAGACTTCATCTTAGGGGCCATGGTGAAATTTACTGTCCAGTTAGTACAGTTAATACAGTATGATGCTGCTGATAGGACAGGGTTACTCAAATTGATGCTGCCTGCATGACGCATTGCCGCCGCAAGTGTTGTCAAATATTGTACAGTGGTGTGCATCAGCCAGCCCAGCCCAGCTGCCAGATGCACGGTCGTAAGTCGAGTGGACGTATGTCGAGCAGGTCGTAAGTCTGATGGTAGGTGTATATGTACGGTGGACCCTCAGTTATCGGCCGTTCCAGATATTGGCCAATTCAGTTTTCTCCCACCTTTTTGGCCAAAATTGTATCCTGGTTATAGGCCATTATTTCGGAGATCGGCCATATTGGAGGCGTCTACCCGCGCTCCACCGCATTCATGAGTCAATCTGGGTGTCTCTGGGTGAGTGAGGAAGCCCCCGCATTCATCCAAACATTTTGCTATAATCCATTGTTTTTTGTGGTTATTGATTGAGTGCAACTGCAAAATAAGCAACCATGGGCCCAAAGAAAGTTCCTAGTAAAGTTCCTTTGGTAAAAAAAAGTGAGAAACATGATAGAATTCAAGGCAGGCAGGCATAGAGGCAAGGAGTGTAGCAGGCATGCAGGGAGTGTAGCAGGCATGCAGGGAGTGTAGCAGGCATGCAGGGAGTGTAGCAGGCATGCAGGGAGTGTAGCAGGCATGCAGGGAGTGTAGCAGGCATGCAGGGAGTGTAGCAGGCATGCAGGGAGTGTATAAGGCATATAGGGAGTGTAGCAGTCAGGCAGGGAGTGTAGCAGGCATGCAGGGAGTGTAGCAGGCAGGGAGGGAGTGTAGCAAGGAGGCAGGGAGTGTAGCAGGGAGGCAGGAAATGTAGTAGGGAGGCAGGGTGTAGCAGGGAGTGTAGGAGGAAGGCAGGGAGTGTAGCAGGCAGGCAGTGTATGTAGAGGGGAGGCAGGAAGTATAGCATGGAGGAAGGGAGTGTAGCAGGGAAACAGGGAGTGTGGAAGGGAGTGTAGCAGGCAGGGAGGGAGTGTAGCAGGTAGTGGACAGTTTTTTGTGCTACAGGGGTGCAGTGACGCAAGCTGGTCCTAGTGGCAGTAAAAGACAGAAGGGAAGTAACCCCTCTTCGCCTTCTTCCATATGCCAACAAGAGTCTTCAATAAAGGTATGTAATGTAGTAAAATTAGTGCTTTATATTTCTTTCTCATTGTTTTGTGTATGTAAAACTATAGTTAATCTTTGAAAAATGTATTTTTTGTTAATATTTTTGGGTGTCTGGAATGGATTAAGTTTTTTTTATTATTATTATTATCACACTAGCCGATTCCCACCAAGGCAGGGTGGCCCGAAAAAAAAAAAACTTTCACCATCATTCACTCCATCACTGTCTTGTCAGAAGGGTGTTTTACACTACAGTTTTTAAACTGCAACATTTACACCCCTCCTTCAGAGTGCAGGCACTGTACTTCCCATCTCCAGGACTCATGTCCGGCCTGCCGGTTTCCCTGAACCCCTTCATAAATGTTACTTTGCTCACACTCCAACAGCACGTCAAGTATTAAAAACCATTTGTGTCCATTCACTCCTATCAAACATGCTCACGCATGGATTAATTGTATTACATTAATTCTTATGGGAAATATTATTTCGGATTTAGGATTTAGGCTGACCTTCTGGAACGGATTGCGGCCAATAACCGAGGGTCCACTGTACTGTGTTTCCTCTACCTTGATAATCTTAGGCTCATTTTATGCCATTTTATCTTTAGTATTTCTCTCTCCAATCCCAAGGCAAGTTGAAAACTTGCTTTGGGATTGGAGAGAGAAAATTAATGATACAGCTATTATGCCAATATTTATATTTTTAGGTCTGAGTTTGGGAGTGGAAGCCAAAGCCAAATATATCACTATCTGCCGCAAGCTGGATTACGAGGAGAGGATGTGCGAAGCAGAGCTACTGAGGACTGAATGTGTTGTTGCAGACTACAAACCCAAATGTCCATTACCTGATTACCAGCAGCTGCAGAAGGATGCAAAGCAACTACAAATGAAGGTACAATCTTGTGTGTCAATGAGTTTTGGTCTTTTAAAACATATAGGTGTCCCCTTGCTTTATGAGATTGAAACATTCCAGTCCCATCAGTGGCTCCAGTAATTTTGATCAGGTCTTTCTTTCTTTCTGTCAACACACTGGCCATATCCCACCGAGGCGGGGTGGCCCATAAGGAAAAACGAAAATTTCTCCTTTTACATTTAGTAATATATACAGGAGAAGGGGTTACTAGCCCCTTGCTCCTGGCATTTTAGTTGCCTCTTACAACACGCATGGCTTACGGAGGAAGAATTCTGATCCACTTCCCCATGGAGATAAGAGGAAATAGACAAGAACAAGAACTAGAAAGAAAATAGAAGAAAACCCAGAGAGGTATGTATTTACAGTGGAACCTCAAAAATCGAACTGCTCCCAACACAACCAATTATGTAAGTGTATTTTTGTAAGTGCTTTTATAAGTGTATTTTTAAGGGTCTGAAATGGACTAATCTAATTTACATTATTCCTGATGGGAATAAATTCATTCGGTAAAGGCATTCGAACAGACTTCTGGACCGAAGAAAGTTCGATATTTGAGGTTCCACTGTATATGCTTGTACATGTATGTGCAGTGTGACCTAAGTGTAAGTAGAAGTAGCAAGACGTACCTGAAATCTTGCATGTTTATGAAACAGAAAAAAAAGACACCAGCAATCCTACCATCATGTACAACAATTACAGGCTTTCGTTTTACACTCACTTGGCAGGAAGGTAGTACCTCCCTGGGCAGTTGCTGTCTACCAACCTACTACCTAGGTTTTGATCAGGTCATCAACACATTTCTTCATCACTGTAATTTTCCTTACTTTTTTTGTGAACCACACTGATCGCATCAGAGTGAATTTGTCATGTGGTAGGAAGCAAGGGTAAGGCTGTCCAGGTAAGGGTTAAAGGGAAGATATAATGGAGGTTTTGAGTGCCAGGAGCTTGAGCATCCAGCAGGCTTGTGTGTGTTAAGTCAGAGTGAATGGAGACAAGTGGTTTTTAATACACAAATAATCCCCACTTAGGACAGGGAAAGTACTCTAATGATGTTTTGGTCCAACTTGGACCATTGGAAAGTCACAATGAAGTGAGAAGGGAAGAAGACAAGAATATATATGAAAGGAGGTGAGGACGAAGAGAGAGAGAGAATGGTGCAAGTTGAACTGAAACATCGTCATCATTTTCCTTCTCCTAAGTATGGGCTATTTGCGTATTGTTCCAGCCAACGTACTGTGATTAATTTATTCTCCAAGTGGTTTTAATGGTTACACATGCTGGTGGAATGTGAGACAGGTAACATTTATGAAGGGATTAGGAGTAACTGGTTAGCTGGTTTTGAGTCCAGGCAGTGGGAAATACAGTGACTGCACTCCGGAGGAGGAGGGACATGGGAAATGTTACAGTTTCGAGGATTATTTGAATTGTGATATCTCTACACTTCTGGAAAGACAGCTGTTGAATGAATGATGGTGACTCCTTTTTTAGGGGACACCCTACCTATTACCAGTAATACGTACTATATGGGAAAGTGCTAAACCCGTAGAGATTATAAGGTGCCTGTGGAAGGGGGGTGGAGATGGAAGGCATTCAGGCTTAATTCAGGGAATTGGAGCACAGAGCAAAAGCCCCTCACCAGCATCGAGGAACCTCCCTTGAGGGAATTACCAATAATAGAAGTACAGTAGCCACACATATAAATATATAATTAACATCTAAGTCTATTACTGTAGTATCAAATTTTAGATTGACTCAGGCCACCAAGTTAAAGAAAAATAATTAATGAGAAATGTTAATGAAGAGTTAGTCAGCCTTATTTTTATTATAGATCTATTTGTGACATGATAAAGTCCACTGTTTGAGTGAAACATTGTCAATAAAGGATTGCACTATAATGCATTTGTCTCCTTGTCCACTGTATGACCTATACTGACATGTTGTATTTAATACAAGGGTAATAATTTCATGGAGAAAAGCACCTACTCAAAATGTATGATTGTATAAAATGACTTTCTGTTTAGGTTGTATCATTTCTTGGAGGAAGTGATCAGTACGAGCAAGAGGAGGAGGCGGCAGCACACAAGAAAAACAAGAAAGGAAAAGTCAAGAAAACAGATGAACAAGATGACTCACATGTAGTACTTCCTTTCATTGATAATTACTCTCAGCTTTCTTGGCGTCAATACATTGTGGAAGAAAAAATTAAAGCATAGTAAGTAACTCAAAATAGCACTGGTTCCCAGTGTTTGAAATCATAACACCAGTGGGGGGGTTACTGAAGATTTTATTTTCAGATTTTGCAGTAGTTAAAATATTTTCAGTGGTGACAGAAATACATCATTTTTAGTTCCTGCCAAGACAGGGTTATCCAGAGAAGGCACATTCATCATCATCTGTTCAATCCTTGTCTTTCCAGAAATGTGCTGACATCACAATCAGATTACCCTCTGACTGCAACATCCTCATCCCTACTTCAGGGTGTAGGCACTGCTTGAAGGGTCTTTGAATTGTGATATATGTGCACTGCTGGGAAGGCAGCTATTAAGTGAATGATTGTGGATTTGTTACCTGTTTTTGTGGGATCACTCTACCATGGTGGGAGATAGCTGGTGTATTATTGACAATGGTGAGATTGACTTTGCTCTCCACAATGCAAGTGTATCTTTACTAAAATTCTTTTTATATGTCAGCTTACAACAGATTATCAGTGTGACATATCTAAACGGTCTGGAAGTTCACCGCCTGCTGAAGGCCCTTATTGCAACATTTGATTTGACTCCAAAAAACATCTCCTTTAAACCTAAACAGTGGCGACTCATCACCATTATCCTGCTTAAAATGTAAGCACCCAGTTGAGTTTTTATTAGCATAAATACTTGAGAGTTGAAGGAAGAAATAGAGAGATTATTGTACCTCAGATTTTGCCCCAAGAAAGCAGTTAAGTTTTGATATGTCAGATATTGATTTATTTTGCAGCAAAACTAACCTAAAAGTTTATCCTAACCTTACAAATATTTAGAAAAAGTGGATTTAAGAATTTAGTACTAGCATTGCACAGCAGAGGTTTGTGGCCATAGATGAGTATAGATGGAACGAGGAATGACGGGGGTTAAGAGTTGAGAGGGAGGAAGGGTTAGTGTATGAAAGGTTTCTAACAATGTAAAAATTATATAAAGAAGGTAGACTATATGAATAGAAGGGAGAGGTTAAACGAGTAGTGACAGAGTGCAAAAGGAGAGCATACAAGAGAATGGGTGAGTCTTTATCAGTAATTAATGTTAAGAGAACACTTTGGCAGATAAATTAGTGGAGAATGTCCAAGAAGCCATTGGAAATAGCAGTTATGAAAGGTAAAATGTTAAGTGGAGAGGCAAAGGTACTGGTAAGACAGAGTGAATATTTTATGTTGTAGCTAATTGTTGCTGATGAAATGAAGGCTATTATTTCATGTAAAGGGCAGGGAGGACTAATATCAATTAGGAATAGGGAAGAACCAGAACTGAGGATAGAGGGTGACAGTACAAAAAGAGGGTAAATCAGCTGAGATTGATGGAATTAAGTTTGAGATGCTGAAAACGGATGAGGGTAGTCTTTTAGTGGCTGGTGCATTTGTTTAACGTTTTCACAAATAAGCTGTACTTGGGAGAGGAACCTTATGCCAAAATTTTGGTTTGTCCTGGACATTTGTTGTCATAAGGTTCCTTTCTTAAGTGTGGGTATTGTGACTGGCATTTTAGTCTTTAGTGTATGTTTGTATGAAAGAAAGAAAAAAAAGGTACCCGAAGAGTAGCAGAAAAGCATGCATACTAGTTCCCTTATTCATGGACAGGAGTGATGGACAATTGATTTGATATTTTATCTAACCAAGCCTGTGTGGTATTGGGATCTCCTTTATGAAGTAAGCTGAGCAATATTTGCAGCTACCCCCCATAGAAATCTTGTGTATACTCTGGGGCTGTCAGTCTAATTGTAGATTTGCATTTGCCAAGAGATCAGTTCAATCCCAAGTACACTGGTACAATATGTGGAGTTTGCATAATTACTGTCAAAAGAGTTGCATATTTGGAAGTACTATATGATGTCTTATTTTTGGAAGTACTGTTATATATATGATAGTAAACCAATAACAGTATCTGAGCTGGCAAAAAGAGTTGGTTAATCCTTTTGTTGTGTGCTCAAGTTTTTTAGGCTTGTTTCCCATAAGTATGTTCTGCTTATGTAGCCTAAATCTCCAGCTAAATGGCTTAGATTTAGTGAAAACAAAATGTTACTGAGGGAAAGTTTCAGAATCAGAATGCTTTTGACAGCATTGATCTGCATCCTCTTTACATGTATTGATTTTTAAGAGTAAGCACTGCATTCCTTGGTACTTAGTGAAAAACATTATTTGCATAGCCATGAATTAAGTAGTTGTCTCTTAACAGGTTTTTCTTATGTATTTATCTTAGGTTTGGCACTTGGCCTGATTATATTATTATTATTTATATGTACTTATCACATATTTCTTCAACAGGTTAACAGTAAGATATCCTGTAATCTTAGAGGCATTGAAGAGCACAGATGCAGTCAACATTCAAAAGATGGTCCTCTCCACTTTTGGTCTCGACTTGGATTACTGCGACCGTATTCTATCTTATTTAACAGAAATAAACTATATTATGTGCAAAAATTTAAAAAAAGAAGGGAGCATCCAGATCCAACAAGATGAATTGTACCCAAACAATGGAATAATAATCCAAGGGGAGTGTAATGTGGACAAAGCTGATAGTCATGACACCAGCACAAGCAATGCACCAAGCCAGGGTAAGCATAGCTTGGACCAAGTTCCAATCACTACAGCAAACCAAGCAGTATGCAGTTTGAACCAAGTTAGTACTCTTGAAACAAACACTGACTTCGAAAGTGCAGCTCAGCAAGACCATGAAGATGTTAGTAGCAGTAAGCAAGAGAACCTATCAAATAATCATCAGGTGACATTGGAAAGTTTTAATTTTAAAGAAAATTGCACAGATGCTGAGGAACTTGGACTGAAAGAAATTTTTTAGCATGTTGCCTCTGACTAACAACAATGTATTGTTTTCCACCCTGCATTTGCTTTCTTCAGCTGCTATGTCAGTTTGCCTTGAGACATCATGGCAAGACTAGGTAAGGGGTAATGTCTAGTCTAAATAGGGAAATATTTTGTTATACAGTAAGACAATGTTGGATTAATTCATGGTATGTAGACATTATTGCTTTGCATACAATAATTTTGTGCATTAAATTCAATGGGGTTGCAGTACTGCAAGTAGTGGGGTGTGAAAAGTAGGGTTAGTGAGAATACACAATTGAAATCATGGTGCAATAGGTTATTTTTTATTACAGTACTGTACCACCAGCACACACATCACATAAATGCAGAATTAAGTTACTGTAATGAACATCTGCATGCTTAATGCAAACCCTTGAAATTTACATTCAGGTAAGACTGTACACATTCTAGCAACCTTAACAGTCTAACAGCTTAACTGAGTGAAATTACTGATGCTGTAGGTTATTCTCAAATGCTTTCATTTCTACTTTTAGTGGGCATATTCCTCTAACAGCTACACATATATAAGGTTTCTTGATCAAAAGGTACTTGGCCAACAGCATTACTGTATAACAGTATATGGCACTGTTCAGTAGCATGTAGATAACTGCTATTCTTCATTGGCATTAGCTGAGTATCCTTACTTGTGTGGTACCTTAAAAAAAAAAAAGAGAAAAAAAAAAACTTGCTTTGACATTGGCTGTCTCCCACTGAGGTAGGGAGGAAAAAAGAGGAAACACGTTCACCATCATTTATTCAAGCCCTGTCTTGCCAGAAGCATCCTGACATCACAGTTTAGATAACCTGAATTAAAACTTGGACCTGCCTCACATGGGCCAGTAGGCCTGTTGCAGCGTTTCTTGTTTCTTACGTTCTTAAAACATACCCACACATTTCCTTTCGAGTGCAGGCACTGTGCTTACCACCTTCAGGACTCAAGTCTGACTAACCAGTTTCCCTGAATTCCTTTGTGTTAATACTTAGCTCATGCGTCAATGGCACGTCAGTTCATAAAAACTGCTTGTATCATCTCTTTCCTTTCCAACATGCTCAAGCCCTTGTGGTTTAGCGCTTCTTTTTTATTATAATAATAATAATAATAATAATAAACTGTTGTCCAGAGGGCTGAGGAAGGGTTGTTGAGGTGGTTCGGACATGTAGAGAGAATGGAGCGAAACAGAATGACTTCAAGAGTGTATCAGTCTGTAGTGAAGGAAGCGAGGGATAGTGCGTCGGTTATTCTAGAAGGTTTGGATTATTGTGGGCTATTTTAAGAGCTACATTTGTTTGTGATTGGACTTGCCAACAGCATACTGTGAGCTGTTTATAGGCATGTGAATGTAGATAAATGTTTTTATTATACTATACTACTTGTGTGGTACTGTGAGAAAGTTTGACATTTTCATGAAGGAGATTAAAAGGGAAACCGTCACCGATCATTTATTCAGCCCTGGAGATGCATGAATACAGTTGCCTGAATAACTCTGTAAGGAGGGGCTGTTGAGTGTTTTGCAGTTTTAAAAAACTTGTTTGGTGAGCATGTGCACACCTTCTGGACTAAGTCGAACAGTTTCGTTTTGTGTTATATAGCTCGTCAATGATGGTATAAAATGTTTTCTCTTTTCCTTCCACACTAGCCTTGTGGGTTGCGTTTGTTTAATATAATAAAAAAATAAATAATAATAATAATCCAACATGCTCACACAAGCCTATCTGATGTCCAACCCAAGCAAGGGAAATATCTCTGCTAAAGAAAGTAGTCATGAAAGCACTGGAGGAAAAAATAGTTATCAGTAGTACAGTTACTTGGAGAAAAAAAAAAATTATCTACCAGTGAAGCAACAAACAAGGTGTAATCATCAGTGTTCCAAATGTCACAAGAAATTTTAAAGGAAATACATTTCTTTGGTATACTGTATATAAATAATTGATAATGTGACTGATTATGCCATCATCTGCAGCATAAGTGATGATCTGGTATGTGTAGAACTTCTCAAGCCTTATGACTTCTGCATGTTACCCTCGGAAGATTCAGTATCTTTTGCATAATTTGCCACTGAAAATATTTTATTTTGTTAAAAGTCACATAGGTAATAGCATAATTACAACTGATTATTTGTTAATTTTATTGATTTAAATATTTTTTATTTTTATATTAGTCCATTTACTTAAAAACTTAACATGTATTTCAGCAAAGGAACACTATATTTTTGGGTTACCCTTAGTAATCTGAGAATCTGTATCAGTGTCATTTCCTCTAAAGTTTGATTACACAGATAAAGAAAACTGCGTATTGAAACAGAGTATATTGGCTGCCTGAAGTTCTATGTAAAAGCAAAAGTGGTACATCATTTACCACTTTGACTAGGGAAATACATATGAAGCTGTCAGTTATAAAACTAGGGGCCTGGAAGTTTAATTGTCATCAGTATTTTAGTTTATTAATGTTTTGAGGAAACCAGGATTCTTAGGGTTAAAAATCTCAGGATTGCTTTATTCTGAAAATCCATAACCAATGGATTTTGTTGGATATAAACTTACCGTGTGATGTATAATTTATATTTTTCTGGCAACCCAAATGGATATTTTTTAATAAACTTAAGAGAGAGTTTAAAGGTGTTTACATATTAGATAACCGATAACCTTTTTACTATGCAGTGTAAAAAACAGTATTTGGGTCTGCATGCTTCATACAGTAGTTAAGAAACATGACCCTACTTTTGGTTTAACTATAATTGTTTTTAAAATAGTTCCAATTATTATTATAATCAAGGGAGAAGTGCTAAACCTATAGGATTTTACAGTGCCTCTGGGGGTAGGGGGGGGGTGGAAGGTATTCAGGCTTAATTCAAGGAACAGATCCAGTTCCCTAGATCACGAGCCCCTCACCAGCGTCAAGGATCCCTCCTTGAGGGGTTAAAATATTTCCAATAATTCTCGCACTTTACAGTTACGTATGTCCAATAGAGCATCTAGAATATGATTTATCTATACAAGTGAAGCTCCTTACAAATACTTTGCAAATCTGTAGACTGGACTACACAACTGTTGCTTTCTGATTGTGTGATCCAAGGCTGACTTGTATTCTCTCACCCTTGCTGTGTATCAGTGACAGGCCCATATCAGGTCTAGCACTTTTTATATACAGTATGCCGTGTAATAACAAGTCTCAGTAAGAGTGTTTGCAAAGAGCTACACAAGTGCTGACCTGAAATTTAACCTGTAAACGGTCCATGCAGATCTACGTTCACATGTGTAGTGCTACAAAAGTAGATCTACGTTTTTTTTACGTATTTTCAAATGTAACAAAAAAAAAGTAGATGAAAGTTTTTTTACACATTTTCAAATGTAAAAAACAAAAAGATCTACTTTTTTTACATACTTTCAAATGTTGAAAAAACGTATATATACTTTGGACCGTTTACGGGTTAATTAAAAATTTCTTTAACAAAAACTGATGTTTCTGGAATTACAGGACAGTATAAACATCTTATGTGATTTTTAGAACAAACTTACTGTAAGTGATAGTAGTAGTGCTGGCCAAAGTAGAGGACATCAAACAAGATTGTTATTATTCCAAGGCCAAACTTGCTAAAGTCAGTAAATGTGGAGATCCAGTCATCTGTAATGCCAGTTTATTTATTAGCAGGATTTTTTTTTAAATAGCCTACAATGTACCACCTTTTCTCAACCTTTTAAATGTTTATGATAAGATCTATATTCATATGGGAACCTGTTTATGATGCAGATTATTATTTAGGAAGAAGTGCTAAACCCACTGGGGTCACAGTGCCAGGGGCATTCCTTAGGTGCTGGGGAATCCAAGGAAGGGGAGAGCAAGTCCAATTTCTTGGATCAAAAGCCCCTCACCAGCATCAAGGAATCTCCCTTGAGGGATTATTATGTGGATCTACAGTCACTCTTGACATGAACTTCCTCTCAGCTCCTTTTTTGCATCCTGGTCTGGAACAAGGCCATGGCAACTCCCAAAATCTTCAAGTAACCTTCTCCATCAAGATCCCACATGCTACTACTAATACTGTCCCATAACTCACCCAGTGGAAGCCACTAGTAACTTCTCTCACACTGTTATTGTGTCCTGGCTTATGTGCCTGCATAGCCTTCACTCTACTTTTTCATTTTTGTTCTGCTTATCAAAAAAACAAACTATTTCTGATCTCTCCAATGCCCTGATGCCCTCACCCTGGCTGCCCTCCTGTCAGAAAGTCCTGCTTTTAATGCATACTCTCTGACTTCTTAACTGAATGACTTCCAGCATCAGCTATGACTTATATTTCAAGGGAGGTTACTTGAGGTGGTGAGGGGCTCTTGATCTAAGAAATTGTATCTGACCTCCCCTTGAATCAGACTTGACTGCCTCTCCATTCCCTTGACACTATATGAGTTCTATGAGTTTAGCACTTTATTATTATTACCAGCCATGGAATGTAATGTGAATTAACGTTGAAGAAACTGAAGCTACCCTTCCCATCCTTAAATCAAACCTAAATATTTTACCTTATCTCCCAGGTGCTGCATGACCTCTACGGATTTAGCACTTCCCCATGATGATAATCAAATAAAGTATTTTTTCTCATTTTAAGAAGTTGTAGACAAATATTGTACTGTACTTACTACAGTTGTCAGCGAGAATAAACATCTGTGCTAGGGACATTACACCACCGAGGAAGTCCAGTGCTATACCTGTCATGCTGTAGCCCTTGGTGCTCTGATTCTTGTAGTTCACATACAGCTGTCAACACAAGGAAAATAGTAGTGTATAAGGAAGCCAAAATTCTGAAGTTTGCTGTTTAGGCTCCAATAAAAAAAATTGTAGAAAATAAATACTGTATGATTATAATGAGGTTCAAATTTAGGAACACAACTCACATTTAAAATTAATAAAAATATCAGAGTGATGCTGCACAATAGTAATAGACATAGCACTAAAGGTGGTGGAAATTAGCACAATACTCAGATGAATGCATGAAATGCCAGAGGGCAGCAACACAACACTGTTGCTAGTGAAGGGTTCTTGATTCAAGTAAATGGAGCTACCCCTCACCTTCCTTGGATGAGACCTGATTGCCTCTCATTTCCCAGACATTGTTTACTGGTTTAATGCTCCTCCATAAATGAAGTTATAATTTTGGACTTATATATTACTCCAACAGAAAATGCTTATGTTTGGACCCACCTGAGGAATGTAGTCGAGTAGGGAGAAGATAAGCTTGAAGTAGGACAAGAGGTAGACAACATCAAGCCACCAGATAGTGTGTACAGCGGCCATCAAGCAACTACCGCCAGAGCCACCATTGCTGTAGTCATCAGTGTCAAACACTGCCATGACACCATCTGCCCTGCTGCACGCTACACCACATCAAATAACTATGGTTAAGTTGCAGCTTACTGGTAACCTTGGTGTCTGTCTCAATACACAAATAACCCGCACATAGAAGAGAGGAGCTTACGACGACGTTTCGGTCGGACTTTGACCATTTACAAAGTCACACTAATCAGAAGTGGAGCAGGACGGCTATATATAGGCAGGGAGGAGGAGGAGGAGGAGGAGGAGGAGGAGGAGGAGCAGGAGCAGGGAGAGGAGCAGGAGCAGCAGGAGGAGAGGAGCAGCAGCAGCAGCAGCAGCCACGCAGCACAGCTGCCACCGCCGCAGCCCGCCCACCCGCAGCCACCACCGCAGCCGCAGCAGCCTGCCGCCCCGCAGCAGCAGCAGCAGCAGCCGCAGCAGCCCAGCACAGCCGCAGCAGCCGCAGCGCCGCAGCCGTCCACGCCGGTCAAATATAAAGAAAGGGGAGCACTGCAAGGGAGCTAGGTGCCCACAGAGGGAGAGCAAGTGCACAGAGGTGGGGGGAAGGGGAAGTGATGAAATAAATAATGAAGGAACAGAAACACGCGACAGAAGAAAGACAAAAAAAAAAAGGGGGAAGAGGGAGAAGAAAAAATGAGGAATCAGGTTAAGTCACGGGTGTTCTGAAGCTTGGAGCATTTTACAATGTAGTGGGAGAGGAAGGCATCTACAGAGACAAAGCCAGGACTAAGATTCATAAAGGAAAGTTGTGTATTAAAGAGGATTCAACAAGACGGCGACTGTTAAAGTTGGAAGTAGGGAAGACAGTTTTAGCAGAAGACCAGTCTATAGGATGACTGTGATCTCTGACGTGACAGAAAAGAGCATTGTTAGTGTCGGCAAGCCTAACATTATTTTTGTGCTCCCTAAGTCTGTCAGAAAGAGATCGCCAGTTTCTCCAAAGTATTGAAGAGGACAGGAGCAAGAAATAGAGTAGACACCAGGAACATCTGTAGAGGGAGGAGAGGTATGAACGAGATTAGTGCGAAGAGTGTTAGTCTGGCGGAAAGTAAGCTTGATGTCTAAGGGACAGAGAGAATTGGTGTGATTAGAAAGACTGGAAATGTAGGGAAGGCAGAGGACAGAAGAGTTCCCAGGAGTAGAGAGTTTGGGAGAGAAGAAATTACGTTTAGTCCTGCTCCACTTCTGGTTAGTGTGACTTTGTAAATGGTCCAAGTCGGACCGAAACGTCATCGTAAGCTCCTCTCTTCTATGTGCGGGTTATTTGTGTATCGTTCCGGTCACGGTATTGTGCCTTTTTTGTTATTTATGGACCCCACACTTAAGCGTCATATTCTCTCCAACTTTTTTAATGTTCTTCCCTCTTTTAAACCTCTCTTTCGATCTTATGAGGCTGCTCTTATTGCTACCAGGCGTCGTAAGAATCAGCTTCGCATCCTACGTGACTGTTTTGCTGAACAAGTTCTGCCACCTTCTCCCATTTCCTGAAACCCAACCCTCTGGGCACTCCCTTTCCTGATCATGCCCGTCTCCTACTTCAATAGCTCATTCTTTCTACTAAGTCACAGGTTGAAGATGCCTTCTTTACTTTCCGTCAGCGTCAGCGTGCTCTCTTTGCGGCTCTACCACAAGATCTCTGTAACCTTCTCTCTACCATTGCGTTTGACACTGCTCGCCTGAATACACAAATTCATTCTTCTAAACTACAGAATAAACTTCAACGTCTCATCTCAGCTAGCCCTTGGTCTAAATTCTCCCTCACTGACTGTGTTACTAACTTGTCTTCTGTCTCACTCTCTCAGTATGAGTTTGAACTTCTTGGTTTTGGCCTTTCCTTTGCCACTTCGCCTACCCCTCACACTGGTATTTCCCTGATTAGCTCTTTTGATTCCTTTCGTCAATATCGCTCCCGCAATCTTCCTGACTTGTCCACTTTTCATGGCGCTCTCCTTCCTGCTCTTGTTAGTCTGTTTTCTAAGAATCACCACCTTCCACGCCATTACCAACTTGCCCTTTCTTCTCTTAAATCTAACACTTACATTGTCATACTATCTTCTGACAAAGGTAATTCGGTAGTTATCCTTGATCGCGAGGATTACCTCCGTAAAGCTGATGTCTTGCTCTCTGACTCACGTACCTACACTCCTCTCATTTCCAACCCTCTTGATCGCATCAAGAGAACTTTCAACAAGAAACGAAGGACTCTCTCCGACCTCTGTCCTCCTGACTTTGACCTTGTTCAATAGTTTCGTGTCATCTGTCCCTCTCTTCCCTATTTCTAAGGCCTTCCCAAAACTCATAAACCTGATATTCCTCTTCGTCCTATCATATCCTCTAGAGGTTCTGTCTCTTATTCTCTTGCTTCTTGGCTGGCCAAAACCCTCACTCCCTTTCTTGGTACTTTTTCTCCTGCCCACCTCCGTCACTCTCAAGACTTCATTGAACGGGTTCGCTCTCTCCCAACCTGTAAGATGCTTAGTCTTGACGTTGAGTCCCTCTTCACAAATGTCCCTCTTGATGATGTCCTTGATTTCCTTAGAGAGAAGGCCCCTGAAGGGTTTCTACATCTCCCTATACCTATTGAAGTCTTTCTTGATCTTATCTGCCTCTGTGTGGACTCTAATTCCTTTTCCTTCCAAGGGAAATATTTTTCTCAAACCTTCGGTGTAGCTATGGGCTCTCCTCTCTCTCCTGTCCTTGCTAATCTTTACATGGAATACTTCAAGACTGTTCTTCTTCCTACCCTCGATGTGCAACCTTCACTCTGGCTCCGCTATGTGGATGACATCTTTGCTCTGTGGCCTCATGACTCCAATCTCTTCCAACCTTTTCTTGAAGCTCTTAATAATCTTGCCCCTTCCATTAAGTTTAAAGCTGAATGGGAATCCAATTCCTTGCTTCCTTTCCTTGATGTCCATGTCCACTGCTCAGATACAGGTTTTTCCTTTTCCTTTTACCGAAAACCTATGCACAGTGGCATGTACATTCACTACTTTTCCTATCTTGCTTTCCCTGTCAAGAAAAATGTTCTTATCTCCCTCTTTCTCTGTTCCCTCCGCATCTGTGATCCTCAGTTCCTTCCAGCAGAAATTTCCACTCTTCATAATTCGTTTTCCCGTCTTGGCTACCCTTCCCATTTCATAGACTCTGCCTTCTCACGAGCTAAACGCAATTTCTTCTCTCCCAAACTCTCTACTCCTGGGAACTCTTCTGTCCTCTGCCTTCCCTACATTTCTGGTCTTTCTAACCTCACCAATTCTCTCCATCCCTTAGACATCAAGCTTACTTTCCGCCAGACTAACACTTCGCACTAATCTCGTTCATACCTCTCCTCCCTCTACAGATGTTCCTGGTGTCTACTCTATTTCTTGCTCCTGTCCTCTTCAATACTTTGGAGAAACTGGTCGATCTCTTTCTGACAGACTTAGGGAGCACAAAAATAGTGTTAGGCTTGCCGACACTAACAATGCTCTTTTCTGTCACGTCAGAGATCACAGCCATCCTATTGACTGGTCTTCTGCTAAAACTGTCTTCCCTACTTCCAACTTTAACAGTTGCTGTTTTGTTGAATCCTCTCTAATACACAACTTTCCTTGTATGAATCTTAGTCCTGGCTTTGTCTCTGTAGATGCCTTCCTCTCCTACTACATTGTAAAATGCTCCAAACTTCAGAACACCCGTGACTTATTCTGATTCCTCATTTTTTCTTCTCCCTCTTCCCCCTTTTTTTTTTTTTTGTGCCTTCTTCTGTTGCGTGTTTCTGTTCCTTCATTATTTATTTCATCACTTCCCCTTCCCCCCACCTCTGTGCACTTGTTCTCCCTCTGTGGGCACCTAGCTCCCTTGCAGTGCTCCCCTTTCTTTATATTTGACTGGCTCCTCCTCCTTAGTTCCCCACTACTACCACTACCACTACTACTACTACTACTACTACTACTACTACTACTACTAGTACTAGTACTACTAGTACTACAAGTACTAGTACTAGTACTACTAGTACTAGTACTAGTACTACTAGTACTAGTACTACTAGTACTAGTACTACTAGTACTAGTACTAGTAGTACTACTCTTCTATGTGCGGGTTATTTGTGTATCGTTCAAGTCATGGTATTGTGCCTTTTTTTGTTATTTGTGTCTGTCTCAAGCTTACCAAGAACTTCACACCACCCTTACTAACTACCTCTTGTTATACTCTCCACCCTCGCTGGTCTTTGATCAAGCATATTATTAAACCCTTAGCATACCCTACCCTGCAGCACTGTATGACCCGTGTGGGTTTAGTGCTTAGCTATGAATACAACAGTTGTCAAGCTTATCGAGTGGAGGAACAAACCTTAGCTGAAGAAACACAAAGCCCCAAGTTTACACTATACCCAGGCAAATGCACAAACAACTAAGGAGAGGCAGCAAGGACTGGTTAATTGTTTAAAGCTTAATGACTACATGAAGGTCATGAACACTGCATGTCACCACCAATAAAGAATACTTTAATCCTGAAAATAAGAGTTAAAGTAAACTCTCAGTGAATATACACTGAGAAACATATGCTTCTGTGTAGGACTAGGAGCTGCCACACCCTTGGGTGAAACCTGATAACCTCTCCCTCTCCAGACACTATGACTTATCTGTATGACCCTTGTGGGTTTAGCACTTAGTTCTGATTGAAATAATTATGTATGACTTACAGGTTAATGCTTCACTGCGAGGATGATGATCATAACTACTATATCACATCTATGAAATTTGGCCTGTGTAACAAGGTTAGGAGTAATAAAGGCTGCTATCTGCATATTTCCACATGTCAACTCTTGCCACTGTCTACCTACCAAGTCAAAGATGTTGTGCTTATTGTATGATTAAGAGCTCGTGAAGGCCTCTCGATTTAAAAAAAAAATAGAGCTACTCATTACTTAGATCAAACCTGATTACCTCCCATTCCCCAGGTGCTAAATGACCCTAATGGGTTTAGTATTTCTCCATGAATACTCTGTAGTACTAACAATCAATACAACATCACCATGTTACTAAAACACCTCCACCACTCATCACTACACTACAGCAAAAGTCATCATTACGTACCTTATATATAAAACACTGTATAATTACTACCAGTTGAGCACATAGAGAGTAGGCAGCAAAACACACATCATTAAGTCTGACATGGTTCACCTGCCTGGGGTACCGCTTCACGAACTCTTCCTGGAACCACGTACAACATACCATATAGTTTCTGCATAGTCCTACCATTTTAAATTAAATTCCAATTTAATATATAAACATCTTTGAGTCATTTACTAATTAACAGCTAAATGGATCATCATGGGACAAATACCCATGTCAGGACACAGTTGTTTCTTTAACAAAACACAACAGTCATAGACAGACCTTCCTAATCAGTGTCAGTTTACCACTTTGGTTAGTTATTATTATTATAATCAAAAAGAAGTGCTAAGCCACAAGGGCTATACAGCGCTGCAGGGTAGGGAAGGAAGCGAGGGTATTGGGCGGTAGAAGGGGGTAGGGATGATCAGTAGGTTACAGAAAACAGCAGGGCAGGGGATAGTGCGGGGGTAGAGGGCAGCAAGAGATTGAGGTAGAAAGGGCTGAAGGTATCATCAGAGTTTGTGAAGTAAGTCAGTTGTTGTCAAAAAGTCAATGAGAGAGTCCGGATGAAAAGTGGGTCCATCAGCGAGAAGGGAAGGTAAAGAGAGAGCAGCGGAGCGAAGACGACGTTGGAGGTATATTCTGCGTGCTCGTTGATAAAGTGGGCAGTCTAATAGAATGTGGCTAACTGATAATGGAACCTGACAATTCTCACAGAGAGGAGCAGGGCACCTCTCCATGAGATAACCATGAGTAAGACGAGTATGGCCTATGCGAAGACGGGAGAGAGTAGTCTCCCAACCTCGACACTAGTGACAAGAAGAAGGCCAGTAATGTACGTATACTCGGTTTAATAGATTGAAGTTTGTTACTGAGCAGAGTAGATCAACGTTGTTGCCAACGGGTGTGAAGGTGGGTAGCTAATGCAGCAAAATAGTCCGTAAATGGAACACCTCTATATGAAACTGGTAGGTCATGTACTGCTGACCGCGCAGCAGTGTCTGCCTGTTCATTGCCCTGTACGTCAACATGACCAGGGACCCAACAAAAAACAATATCTTTATGCTTGGAAGAGATGCGGCATAGCCAAAGTTGGATACGGAGGACTAAGGGGTGAGGTGTATCAAATTTCTGTATAGCCTGTAAAGCACTAAGGGAGTCTGAGACAACCACAAATGATGACATAGACATAGATGCAATACGGATAAGTGCTGTAAGGATGGCATATAATTCAGCAGTCAAGATACTAGCCGAAGATAGTAAATGCCCTCGTACGACGCTGTCCGGAAACACTGCTGCGAATCCTACTCCGTCAGAAGACTTAGAGCCATCTGTGTACACTGCAATGGCATGAGAGCGAGAGTGGAAGTGGTCAAAAAAAGAGAGCGGGAAGCTACCGTAGACAGTTGGGCTTTCGAGCAAGGGAGTGAGAAAGAACAGACTCGAACAGCTGGACCTTCCCAGGGGGGTAGGGAAAAGTGAGATGCTACATGAACATAGAAAGGTGGTAACTGAAGAGAAGACAAGAGCAAATGTAGGCGAAGGGAGAAGGGACGGAGCAAACAGGGGCACCAAACAAATAATGTCTACTAATATCGGTGACCATTCTATAAATGGAAGGATTGCAGAGATCATGAGAGCGTACATAGTAGCGAAGGTAATGGGCATCATGGCGATCGGATAAGGATGGAACGTTTGCTTCTGCATAGATGCTCTCAACAGGGGAAGAGCGAAAAGCACCAAGGCATAAACGTAATCCTTGGTGATGAATGGGGTTAAGGCTAGAGAGAGTAGCAGGAGAGGCCGCTGAATAGATCTGGTCATCATAATCAAGTTTCGATAAAATGAGGGCAGAATGTAGGTGAAGGAGAGTTCGACAATCAGCTCCCCATGAAAGATGAGCAAGGGTTTTAAGAAGGTTCAACCAGCTGTGACAAGTTGCCTTCAGAGAGGTAATGTGAGGTTTCCAGGTAACCTACAGACAAGAGGAGGCCTAGGAACATTGACTGTATTCCGTTCAGGGTACGGGAGCCATAGAGGTACAAAGGATGATTCGGAGATGACGAGCGTCGAGTGCAAAGTAATTTGGTGAAGTTTTTGGTACTGGAAAATTTAAACCATTTGTGTGGTGGCCAATTGGAAACACAGTCGAACCCACATGTTGGAGAGAAACTGTAATGAGGTGACAGTCAGCGCCTGACACATGCATAGCTAGTCATCAAAATAGAGTGATGGACCAAATATTTGGATGGAAGACTAGAGGCAAAATCATTTATAGCAAGGACGAAAAATTTGTGCTTAGAACACACATTCATGGGGGACACCTTCAGCTTGGATTAAATGTCCAGAAAAGCCTCTAATGGAATAATTGCCACGGGGGGGGAATCACAGTGGACCGCTCCCCCAGAAGGAAGTGATGGGCATTAAATCGCCAAGTAAAAAGAAGTGGTGCGGTAATGACGAAATACAAGAAAGGCAATATCTGGGATAGATAATGCCCGAGGAAGGGAGCGAGATACAAGAAACAGCGTGTATACCACCTATTGCCGTGGATACAGCTGCTGTGTAATGCAGCGAAGCTACGAAACAAATAGCTGATGGTATGGAATATTCAGTGCGTAGAAGAAAGGCACTTTCATTAAAGGTCCCATCAGCCCCCCCACCCCCGTCACCTGGAAAGGTTCTGAAGATACAATTAAATTATCAGGCATGAGATAGGACTAGTATAAGTAGGCAGAGTGTAATTTTGGCTCCTGTAGGCAAACAGCTCTAACAGGAGGAAAACAGGAGAAGCAACATGCTGAAGCTCACCCCGATTACCACCTTGAGGCCGTGAATATTTACTCGTAAAATAGGCCATGAATGGCCAACGATAAAGATACCTGAATTCCACAGGTAGGGTACTACGAGACTTGAGGGGTTAGAAAAGTCCACTTGCGGTGGCAAAGGATAAATGTTTCATAGTAAGCGAAGGAGCGGTGCGTTGTGAAGAAAGGGTAGCGCAGATGGAGAAGAGGGAAGAGAAAGTAACAGAGGGTGATCAGTGTCCGTTGATGGTTTGGTCTCTGCAATATATTCAGAGATTTGCTTCTAGTGTTTCAGAGTTCAGCGACGTCGTATGGGAGACCATTATTTGGAGGATGGGGGGAAGGAGGAGGAGTTTGAGTAAAAAATCAGAGCTGTAATGGACTGTACCAACGGTGGGGGGGAAGGGTGGGGGAGAATGGAGAAGCGTGGGAGGGGAAACCCCCCCCCCCCCCACAGGAAGAGGCAGAATCCTGGGAGGTGGCCAGAAGAGGAAGAAACTTGGGAGAGGACAGGGGAGGTCGGCCACTGTACGAGGAGGAGGATGAACCTCCACACTTGATAACAGTAGCCAGTGAAAGGGCGAAAGACCCTGGTACAGAGGACGGGAAGGTAAAATGTGCGAGTAGATAAGGGAAGGAGGGGTTTAAAGGAGATTTTTTGGGGGCCTCTGAGAGGCAGAGGGGACGATTGGGAGGAGGTGTCTTACGAGGCTTGTCGTCACCGGGGGTTTGTGAGGGAGGACATGAAGAAGTGAGGGACAGACTGTGGAGTTGAAGGTAGGGATGTCAGAGCCCAGGACAGCAAAAAGAAATTAGATACAGGGCCCATCAAGTGACTATGGGATTGGCAACCGCCGAGGAGGCTGCAGAAGATGTGACCCAGAAGTGGAGGGATGCTTTGAAACACCGAGAATAAGAAACCGGGGCAGTCTTCCTTTGGAGAGCGGAGATGAGAAACCGCCATAGTATAAGGGAGACCTTGTGCCTCTGATGATGAACGAATTTCCCGCCATTTAAGTAGACTTGGCAACGGCGAGAGTACGAAGGGTGAGCCTCATGACAATTAAGCAAGAGGGAGTTCGACTGCAAGACGTATTAGAATGGTCATCGGCACCACAGACTGGGCATTCGGCTATAGATCTGCAATATTTTGCTGGGTGGCCAAATCGCCAGCAATTCCTACACTGTTGTGGTGTAGGGATCACCTTCCGAACTTGTAACCGATGTCCTGCTACATAAACAGAGGATGGGAGTTCACGGCTGTCAAAAGTTAAACGAGCCACATTGCAGGGGTATCGTCTTCACCCGCGGGCAGGAAGAACGTAAGTGTCTACCTTGATAATTAGGAGATCTTGGAGTTCCAGCTGTTCGAGAATGTCAGTGCCACATGTCTGGAAATTCTGTTGGACTATGGCATGGGGCAGAATAACAGTACCACTATAAGAATTGAGGGAATGATGTTTTTCGATAGTGATAGGAATAGTATCGATATGTGAAAGAAGAGAAAGATCATGAGCTTGGGTAGAATTCTGGACTGTGATGATGCGCGAACCACTCTTAAGAGCATGAAAGGAAATATCTCTACCAACGTGGTGAGAAGCGCTTTGCCAATACTATGGTCGGAAAAATAGGCAGTAGAAGAAGTCAGTTTTAATGTAAAGAATTTAGTCCATTGTGTGGTCTGAAACTGAGTGTGGAGAGGGAGTGCATGACGTGTTGGTCTTTTCTGAGTAGAATGGGAAGGTAACGAAGTAACATCATTAGGAGATTGTCGTTGATGTTTAGAAGTGGGACCAGAGTCGGTTCGATGTGGGACGGGCTGGCGATTAGAAAATCGCCACACCGTAGAGGAAGAAGCTGGAAGCATAATCAAAGGAGAGCGGAGGTCAGACAAATCGAAGGAGTCAGTGGAAGCCCCAGTACCTGAAGCGGGTGAGGAAACAGCACCAGCAAGAGGTACAGGAGCCTTAGGAATGTCCGAAGAGTGGCCAAAAGACGAGGCGAGGTCAGAACGGGGTGTGGTAACAATAAGAGGCCAGGGGGTAGTGGGGTCATGGATTGGGTACTCCATGGTTAGGTTACTTCTTTCTTTTTGTTTTTAAGAAAAAAAAAGAAAGAGGAAAAGAAAGTAAAAATAAAAAAAGAATAAAAAAAGGGGGAACCTGGGAGGGATAGTTCCTAGGAGGAATGAAAGGGCCAGAAATCTCCCTCCGCGCCCAAGAGGACCTCAGCACCGCAAGTAGCGCAGATGCAGCATGGAACCCGTGCCATACCCTACCCATCATGCCAGTAAACCAGCAATCCGGGATAGCAATCTCACATCTGCCGAGCTACCTCGGTGGACAAAAGAGAGGGCGGCCGGATATCTGCCACAAAGCATACCTCCTTCGGCTACCACCCCTGGAATTCAAAAGGTGGCTTCCAGAGATATACCCGTCGCCCGAAAGACACCCAAAGCCACCCTCCGGGATACCGGAGAGGGATCGAGACATCCCCAGGCAATCCAGATTCCACGGCAAACTATGCCACCGCCAAGAACCTCAACAGAATGGGATGGACCCCGGTACCCTTTCTCCTACCTAGGAACTAGCGCGCCTGTGGGAAAAACCCCAAAGGTCAAAGAGAGGAAGGGAAAAAGGGAGGGGTGGGGAGGAGGAGGAAAGAAAAGAAAAGGGAGGATAGGGATGATGGGATAGGGAAGGGGGAATTGGGAGGTAATTAGGTTCGGTCTGAGGAAGGAGACCGACAGGTCTAATTCCTCAGACCAAGAGCCTCTTCACCACGCCAAGGAGCCCCCCTTGAAGAGGCACTTTGGTTAAGAATGTCAAATGTATGACTGACACTGGATTAAATACTACATGATTATATGACTGTTTTACAATCAGCAGGGTGGGTCTCATTTTTGTCCGCATTTCGAAAGTTCTATTGCCTTCATTATTGCATATTTTGCCATTGTAATTATGAATGGTTACATATTGTTTGCAAACAACAATTCACCTTGCTTTATTAAACTAAAAAAAACTTTCTCTCTCTCTCTCTCTCTCTTTCTCG